TTAGTTTAACTGTATCATTTTTTTCCCCCCGCTGTTAAAACATTGGACTACCGACAAGTGCTTGGTCTTGTTGGAAAGTTGCGGTTCCAAGAGAGAGCAGATTTAAAATTTTGCAGTAGCAACGTGATTGGCTGATGGAGATCGTGGCAAAGTTTCATTGGATAACTAGAAGAGTGAATACCGATAGTCAGCTGATAAGAGCAAACAGCAAACATTGTACTGTGCTCTGCTGTTGCTTGCTGCTTTGCATAGCCTCTGTTCTATCTTGACAATTTCTAATTGCTATAATTAATTCTATCTTTATGTCTCTATGCTGTCTTTGTCCTGTGAATTGTCCTGTGATTTTGTTTTTATCCTTTTATTGGTTTCAAAACATCTTGCCAAAGGACTGCAGTTGAAAATTAGCCAGCTGGCTGACACTGGCACATTTACAGAAATGTTGATTAATGTGAGTTGTCTTTAGAAATAAAATAAATCTAAAAACATTTGAAAAAAAAATCTAGCAGAGAGGCGGGAAACTGTGGCCAGTGAAGAAATTGTTTCTTCAACATGGTGCATCCCTTGGATGGCAAACCATCTTCAGTTCATCACCTCCATGAGTCAATCTTTGTAAGATTTTAGCAGATGTCAAATCCATTATCATTTCATTGAGCTAGTTTCTTTTGTGGCTATAAGTCATGCATCGTCATTCATCATCAAGCATCATTATGCAGGCCACTGTCTTAAGTAAGGCAAGAGACCTGAAACCAAGTCCGCCACCTCCCAGAACTCCGAATGAGGCTTTGACTTCAAGGGGACAGACGCGTGCAAGGCAACTCCGACTCCCGCTGGGGCTGTGGGGACCACAGATACAGAGGAATCATTACCCAAATGTGGCAATGTGCGAGCGGGGGCCCTCAAACAACGAATTGAATGCAACCCACTGCAGGTAAGTGACGAAGAAAACAGTGAGGTTGATCTTCAGCTAATCCGTGTCCCCCGATTTCCACAAAGAGGGAACCTGCAGGACGACGTTGTTTCCCTGTTGAGACAGATGTATCATTGCCTAATTATGGCATTACTCAAGCTAGGGCCCTAAAACGGCACATAGAGCGCAACCCACTGCAGCTAGGTGTCAAAGAAGACAGTGAGGTTGATCTTCAGCTAATCCGTCCACCCCCCATTTGCACAAAGAGGGAACCTGCAGGACGACCTTGTTTCCCTGTTGAGACAAATGTATTGTTGCCTAAATATGGCAATGCCAGGGCCCTCAGACATTACATAGAACACAGCCCACTGCAGCTCAGTTGGACTTAAAGGGGAACACTGCCTAAATTAAGAATTCTGATATGTTATTTCCATGGCCTTGGAAAATCCTATCAGTATTTGTGAACATGAGCTGCCCAAAATTTCAATAAAAAGATTAATAAAACAAACAAACAAACAAACAAAAAAAACCCAGAAATCAGAGAAGAAAGTTTCAAATTTGTGATTTCATAGGGTGTAAAGTCTGGAGCTGCTCCGTAGACAATGAATGGCGCCTGATTTTGTTGACCCACATAAAGTGGTCATGTTTTTTATACCCAGTTGAGCTCAATCTTACCGTAGTGTTCTCAGTTCTGAAACAGAAAATATATCAGTAGAGTCAGAACATTCCCCTGGGTGCTCTCAGTGTTACTAAAACATCTTTCCCAATTATTATCTATGGAGCAGCTCCAGGCTACACACCCTCTGACATAACAAATGTGAGTTTTAGCATTCTAGCTTTTAAATTTGTGAGAGAGTCCTTTATTTTCATTTTCAGTGGTGAGCACCGATGTCTCCGGGAGGTTCTGGTTCACGCCAGACCATTCTGTGAAGACTTAATGTTTTCCCATGTGTGGTTTTCCCCAGGTGCTCCGGTTTCTCCCACAGATCATAATATAAGATTAGGTTAATTTGGAAAAAATAAAATAAAAACAATCAAAACTATATAATGTCTGTTTTAAGAGTTTTATTTAGCACTGCATGAACTAGCCCGTATTAAATCACACACATATTGCCATGTTTAAATATGAGGTGGGCTCGTCAATCTGCAGCAATGCAAAAAAGTGGACAAAATCTCATCTGAAATTTTGGGTTAATTGAATGATGGAGACATTTACACAGCGTATCATTTTCAATTAGAGGCCAGCATTAATACTGCTGTTAAATCACTTTTTTTGAAGTAGAAAAACTACATTCCGTTGAAATGTAGAGCTACAGTAGGTGGTGGATGCCAATAGATGACCCTAAATCCTACAGAATGGGCCATTTATATCTATATAACCAGCAGGTTAGTTTGTTTGATCTAGTTTGCATTTGTGCTACTAGTGTCACAAGCAGACATTAAACCATTACAACCACTTTAATTTGCATTACTTTAAACAAAAACATTACCCTAACCTTAAACATTACCCTAGAGTGTGTGCAAGCACCTAGGCCCTGGCACCCTGTTGTGCCAATAGTCACGGCAAAGTTCCCCCTCAAGTGAAGCATACAATTATGCAGCAGTTACAAACAAAAATTAAAGGCTGCAAGCAGCGATGAACGGGCCCTTGCACCTTTGCGCAACACGAAGGTGCTGGCAGGATGCTGATTGACGCAACATTTCATGTCTGTGAAAATCAGACACTGCACACAAGAGTGAGATAGCATATCCTCCATGGAGTGTGGGTGCTGGAATGACCTATTTCACATTTTTTACTACTCCCTGTTCAGTGGCGGAGCCAGAAAATTTTCTGTGGGGTGGCCAGGATGGTTATATGATCATTTTGGGGTGGTAATGTCTCACTAGAAAATATAGGGGCATTTAGGGCACCTAAACCACGCACCCCCACAATATTTGGAATGCAGGTAATGGTGGAAAACATCAACTAATATTCAGTGTATCTAACTCTTTTTTTATTCCTGCAAGTAAAGTAACAAAGATGCTAACACAATACAAATGTAGCACAATATACAGACTAGAGGGTGACACAGGAGTGGATTTTCAGTCCTGTCCCATCCCACTCCCACAAAAATAATCCCATCCCATCCCAATCCCATGAAAACGAAAAAAAAATCCCGTCCCGTCCCAATTCCACAAGAATGACTCCTGTCCCATCCCGCTCCCGTGTTATGTTTCAGTTACAGTGAAAAAAAAAAAAAAAAAACAGTACATGGATCACACAATGGACTTGAGCTAACTGGAGTAGTTCCATGTCGTATCCAACAACGGGAGGCTTTTAACAGATGACGTCCTGATGTTAGCTTTGCTGCTGCTGTTAGCTGTCCCTATCAGCTGCAGCCACAGCTGTTTTCTAGACATCGTGATTTCCCAAAACTGAATAAATACCACACATAGCAACACAAAACTGCTTTGCTAGCTCAATCATGTTGTAACTAAGATATCCGCTGGAAAAAATATTTTTTTCATGGACCGTTTACTGAGTTACTTAGTTATTACAGACACCGCTAACAGCTAACGGTTAGCCCAGCTAATCTACAATAACCATGTTATTAATTACAAAATGTGCACACAGAAATAGTAATGTTTGTTCAATCATTGTGTTTATAGACTTTACAAACATCAGACTAGTCTAACTTAGTCTATAACTTTATATAGCTAAACTCTGCTGGTTTTCTACCCGGAAGTATTTGTAAACAACAAGGTGATTCCTTCTGTATCTTTAATGTTAAATTAAATAAAGGTACATAGAAAAACACGGATGTAATGTACAATAACCAACTCTCTCAATTAGCTGCAATACTATGCTATTCAACTAAGCTAGCTACATCTTTAAGCTAACATAAGAGACCGAATCACAATATTTGTTTACAGTAACTATCAGTTTAAGTGCATGCTATATTTAGAATATTTTCACCCCTTTACCTTACCATCAGACAGTTCCATTCAGTGGGGAACTGTCGCTGTCAGACTCGATTCACAAAAACAGTAATTTTACCTTGCAGACCACGGGAGTTGCTGGTACTGCTACCTCGATTGGTAAGTGTGTGAGATAGAGCAGTGAAAATATTCCAAATATAGCGTATACTTAAATTAATATTGATTCTTTTTTTAAGTGGCCAAAATACATTGTTCATGCAGCCACCACTACAAGTAGCGTCATTACAAGTAGCAATGTTACTAACGTAACTACATTTCTCAGTGGCGTGGTAGCAACGTCGCTACTTTCTGAGTCAAATAGCTTTCCATAGCGTAGTTGATTAATTGACCGAGTAGTGTGGTAGCGTCCACAAAAGTTACAAACTATTTTTTCCAGGAAAAGCTCTTAAGTGTGGTGGACTTTTTTTCTGTGGAGGTCTGGATTAAAGTAAGGATAATAAAACTGAGGATATGTGACTGTCACAATATCTTTATTTTATAATAACAGTTTAACTGAACATTTTTTCACCTGCCTATTTGTTGGACAGTTTTTCTGATCACTGAGAAAATGCTGACGTACAGTAAAACAAATTGTCATTTTGTTGTAGCTTAGCTCGCTACAATTTTCTGCGGATAACTTGAATGTAGTGAAACTTTATTTTGATGTAGAGTAACTGCAAATTTCAATTTGTAATCAGTTGGTGTATTTACCTGTGCACTTTGCATTTGCCTTAGTGATGGATAGGACCAGACCCATGCCATCTCTATTTTACTCCATTTTTGGATGTTACAAAGAGAGTACAAAACAGAATCAACACTTAATTTAATTTTGATTTTATGCCTTAGCACAGTATCACCTCTAGCCAACATTTGCATTTGATATTTTTTTAAACAAAACCAGCCCGAGTGAACGTTGAAAAAATATAAAAACTAGAATACTGCTTGTGTTAAAATGCCAGATTATTGGTTTAATAGAAGATTAGAAGTTATTCATCACAGTGCTTTCATGTGAAAATAATGAAAATTAGCTGTATCAAGATACTACAGTAAAGTGTCAAAAGAGCTTAATGAAAATATAGATGTATTAAGGGAGATTAATTAACAACACTGTACAGTGATAAAAGAATAAGAGTGGTGAGGTGGCTCAGTGTATGATTTATTTAGTTTTTTGTTTTGGTGTTTTTTCTGATTTAAGAAGAATTGCCCATTGCCCGAAATGTGATTGTCTGTCTCTCCATGTTAGTCGTCAGAAGAAGTGGAAACTTTCCAGGATGCTTTCTTGTCCTCTGGCTTAATTCATGCTGTGGTGGGGTCCAGCCCTTCATGACCCTGGAAAGGATTAAATGGGTAGAGAAAATGTGTAAGAATAGTGGAAGATTTAGCAGTTCCACTTCTCCTTTCTTTGGAAACAGCCTCTCATCAGATGTGACTGCAGCCCACGGCAGCCCTGGAGTTTTGACAGAATAATGTAGGCATGTTGTCCACAGTGGGCGTTCGAACAGATCGGCTGTGACTAGCTGGGTTTAGGCATGAGTTTGGACTGGATGAGATTAGAGTAAGCAAGCAGCCCCTTACCCCAGCAAACATCCTTTCACTGGACGGCAGCCTTGTTTTCCTTTCCTTTCCTTGTGTTGATTCTGCAGCCATTTTCACATAACATCAAAACATGCTGTTATGCCTTCACAGATGAAAAACAGGCCCTGTGTTAATTTTGAAAAATGAGAAAAAAAACAAATGTGAAGATCGGCCATCAGCCCGAGCCAAATTGTCAGGCACGCAAAGTTAATGATTACTCATCACCATATGTGCCTCCACTGACCAAAACGTGATGACAGTATTCAGGTTTAAGAAGTTCACGTGGAGCTCTGCTAACAGATGTTATGATTCACACAGCAGAATGAAAATAATCTCAGAAAGCCAAAAGTAAACAGACATCACATAAGTCATATGTTGTTTTCTGTTGAGAGTTGGGAGGTTGACAAGGCGGTGAGTTAGAGGTTTATCTATGTGAGTATTGTAGTTACCGATGAAAATAGAGATTTTTTTTTTTTTTCATTACCAATATTCTCAATGCATAGAGCAAGCATGGAACATATTCTGAGCTCAGTAGACTTTGCATTGCTGTACTGAGTCAAAGATGGATCCAAAAGTGAAATTCCAATCTGGTGAGTTTATAAAAGGTTTACAGATTTGGCTGATTAAACAGCGCCAATGGGACATTTTACAAACTGTCATTATCGGCAGAACTTGGCTCTGATAGAGGCCAATGGCTGTGCAGCCTCCACCAGTTATGTAAGAAAGCAGATCACCGACTGGAGCTGAAGAGGGAAGAGTTGTGTTAAATGATTAGTGAGTGCAGCTACAGAGAAAACAGGTCACTTCATGTGCCTTAAAACTTCAATTAATAGCCCAGGCTAGTATTTGCTTAAGTCACTGAACTCAACAGGCCTATATTTGGCCTTTAATTCCTTTCACACAAAACTGTCGCTCAGCAAAAAAAGGAAACACAATCAAATTGTTTATTTAAACCAGTATGAATGTTACTTGTTTGAAAATTAGGCTTCAGATAATATATCAAGTATGAATCATTTATTTGATCTAGCTCCGACAGACAGCACATCAGAGAGAGTAAGTGAATGCACTTGAGGATTACGGCACCCGGCATACTGACACAACACCACTTTTTGTTAAAACAATACAACTTGGATTAATTATTATGAAAAACTGTTTTTATCCTCTTGATACGAGGACCCTCATGGACTTGAGGAATATGAACTGGGTAATCGAGGAACAGGGTACAGGGAACAGGGTAATCGAGGAATGGACACATAGTTTGAGTTTGCCAACAACCTGGTTTTATACATCTGAAGAACTTCTGTAAAAAAAAAAAACAATGAGTAACTTGGCAACCAGACCAGGCCTCTAATTAAGACAGGTCTTTATTTGTCAAAATGTGTAGCCACACCAGGCTAGTAAAAGGGACTGGGCGTTTAATACTACTACTACTACTACTACTGTGTTGTTCTTCATTTTATGTGTTTACATGACTTTTGAGGCTTGACTCGCCCAGCAATATTCTTTTTTGTTTTTGTACTTTATTTTTATAGAAAGAACAAACACAACATACAGCATAAAAAAAACAACAAACCATAGAACAAACAGTTGGTCACCTACACATTCATACATACGTTATACTGATGGAGATACAAGTCAGTTCATACAGTAATGGCTCAGTTATCATCTCTTGTGGTCACAAACATAATCCATTTTTCACAGTATTTTTGTACATGTCAATAAATATGTCAGTTAAGTTAGTCTGACATTCCTCTGTTGGTTTTATCTCATCATTAAAAAGTCCTGATTTGAAGATACCTAAAGAAATCCAGTTTTTCTAACCCATATGTATCCGAAATTTTCTGAAAACTATCAAATTCTCCCTTCGATGAAACTGAACAGTAAGAAGTGATTCCCCTTCTATACCAGTGTTTAAACCTCCTGTCAATCCTAGCGGGTTTGAATTCGGGGTCAAAAGCAACCCATGTCAGCAGTTTAGACTGTCTTTTAAGTAATGGTGATTTTCATTCCTTAAACCAAATTTGAAGGCAAACTTTAGACCATTGATTCAGGCCACTAGAATGCTGCTCATACAGTATTTTACTACCCAGTATAGATTGTAGAACGGTTTATCTAATTGTGAAGTTTCCAAATCCTTCTATTTTGCTGTATAATTTGGGTTACAGCAGCATGCCAGTGGCCTTATAGTAGTCTGGTAAGCATGGTAATGATCTACCCCCTTTCTCTTTAGACAGTTGCAATGTTTTGAATTGAATCCTTGGCCTTCTACCCCCCCCATATGAATCTTGAGATCCACTTATCCCATTCGTTAAATTGCATTGGTGTAACCATTACTGGCAGGGATTGATATAAGAAGAAGAAGATATAAGAGTTGAGGAAGTAGGTTCATTTTTATTGTTTCTATCCTATTGTGCATGTCTAAAGGCAGCTGAGACCGTCTGTCAATATCTGACTTGATGTTTTTATTTATGGGACCATAGTAGCTTTCATAGATCTTGGATAGATCTTTAGGTATTCGAATCCCCAGGTAGCCCAGCAATATTCTTGAAGTCAGTAATATTTAGACTAGGGCTGCAACTAACAATTATTTTCATTGTCAACTAATCTGACAATTATTTCTTCGATTAGTCGACTAATCATTTTATCGAAAAATGTGTTAAAATATTGAAAAATGTCGGTCTGTCTCTCCCAAACCCCAAAATTATGAAATCTAATGTCTGTTGTTGTGTTGTTTCGTACTCATGCCAAAAGGGTTTTAGTTCGCCGTCATGGGAGAGTGTGTAAAGCTGCCAATATTTGAACGTAAGAAGCTATAATAAGAGTATTTTGGGGTACTTTTATAATACTTTTCTATGAAAATGACTCCAACCGATTAGTTGACTACTAAAATAGTCACCAATTATTTTAATAGTCGATTAGTCATCGATTAGTCTATTAATCGTTGCAGCCCTAATTTAGAATAGTTTACACTTGTAAGTCACGGATAATTGGTATTTCATATTATATACTGAGATAGGTTTTTGTAAGATAGATATTTGGTAATTAATATTATGTAGATATACATGGGTTATTTTTGTGTGACAAAGTTAAGAGGTAATAACAATGGTATATTTTAAAAAAGTTAGGTTAAAAGGTTATAATATAATATAGGTTAATCTATAAAAAGAAATCAGCAGACTTGGCGTGCTCACTCAAAAAGTCTCAAAAAAGCAATCGGGTGCCGGTACCAAAAATCACAGAAAAGTACAAAACCTGACAGCACTCACTTATAAATGTAACACTTTTAATTGAATAAACTGCACAGCAGCAGATAAACGGACGCGTTTCAGCTCATAGCCGTCCTCAGATAATGACCCAAAACACACCTAGAAGATGACAAATGCCTTGCTGAGGAAGCTGAAGGTGAAGGTGATGGACTGGCCAAGTATGTATCCAGCCCTAAACTCACCTGTGCACCTGTGGGCCATCCTCAAGCTGAAGGTGGGGTAGCGCAAGGTGTCTTGACATCCATCTGCTCCATGATGTCATCATGGAGGAGTGGGAGAGGATTCCTGAAGCAACCTGTGAGCTCTGGTTAATTCCATGCCCAAAAGGGTTAAGGCAGTGCTAGATAATAATGGTTGGCACACAAAATATTGACACTTTAGGCACAATTTGGACATGTTCACTGTGGGGTGTACTCACTTATGTTGCCAGCTGTTTAGAAGTTGATGGCTGTGTTTTGAGTAATTTTCAGAGGGAGGTAAATCTATACTACTATACAAGCTGTACACTGACTACTTTAAGTTATATCAAAGTGTCATTTCTATAGTGTTGTCCCATGAAAAGATAAAATGAAATATTTGCAAAAATGGGAGGGGTGTACTCACTTGTGTGAGGTACTGTATACAATAGGTTAACAATATGACAATGACAATAGGTTTTTATTGTTTGAAATAAATATCAAATATAAATATCAACTTTGGGGAAAAGATCACTACCAATACCATTTGTGGCAGTGCAGAAAACTGCTTGGAAAAGCAGCAAATAAAGATTGTTCTCTTCATGACATCAAAAAGCTGCTGAGTGCCTATAGGCAGCTATAGCTGTACATGTGACAAGCTCATTATAAACCCAGGCTTGGGCAATTTAAAGTACTTTACTTATACTTGTAATTTAATAATTAGCGCAAAGATAATGGTATCATAAGATAACCTAAGGCACGATTCAAGGTCGATCAGCGTGTTGTTCTCTGAGATCCTGCCGTAGATCCTCAGAAAGGGCTTCAAAATAATCAAACCTCGTGTTGGCCTAAATATTTTTCAATCAAAATGTAATTCAAGGTTTTGAAATGAATTAATTATAATTAATTACTCAAGATTTTGCAGACAAGAGAGTACACACTAGCTTTCCTCTGAACAGAGATCATGGCAATTTCTAGTGGCTAGAACGAGAGTCCCTGACACCAAGACTGAGTGAATGCTACCACTTCCTGTTTCAAATTAAAAGCCCTATAGCATTTCATTCACAGTCCAACCATATATTAAGTTTTAGGTCTTGTTTTTTAAAGAAAATGTTTTATGAATCATGGAGAAAGTACTTTGAGTACTTTAAAAACACAAAATTATTCGACTCTTAAGCACTGCCAATCTCAGAGTCCTTTTTTTTAATAGAAACTTCATACAGGAAGTCAAGATGTTGTCACTGTTTACCTGAGAACCTCAGGTTGAAAGATCACCCCCACCTAGATTATGTACAGTCAGTTCGATGTTCACGTTTTGTTGTGCTGCTTTTTCCTGTTCCAAAGTATTGTTATCATTAAGGCCTTTAAAAATCCAATATCTCTTGGAATCTTTTTTTTTTGGACACTGCAAAAGTGAACATGCTTCAAACTTTTTGCATGTTTGTAACTGATGCTTTGCTTCTGAACTGTAACTGATGAATTAAGGATTTCTTTCCTGACAGTTTGACATTAGCCAAGGAGGCATAAATATTTTACAGCAGGCAACAGTACGTTGTCACGTTTGACACTGTAATAACACTTTATTACTGTATATAAAGGCTGCCAGACATGTTTATGGAGTTGTTATGAGATTTCTGGAGGAGTGTTGGTGACATTGTTAATGGAACAATGGTCATAAACATTTAGAAGTTGTTTGAGCATTAGAGCAAGTTTTTTATTATATAGACATTTGTGTTATT